ATAAAGGGTGATTGACAAAATTGGAATTGGATAGAAAATGTATATAAATAAAAAATTATTAAAAAGTAATATTAGTGCTTCAAGAAATGACGAGTGAACTTTTACTATATTCCCAATCATAATTATTTTATTTTATTTTTTATTTTTTTGTAGGCTGCAAATCATTAATCTTTTGCAAACCATATTATTCGAAATGCATTAAACTGACAGAAAAGGTAGGTTACAAATTGAAGTGGGGATAAGCAATTATGAAGTCTAGTTAAATGAGTAATAGTAGTAGGCTTGGCTGCACGGGTCAAAAGGGGTCAAACCCAAGAGCTAATGGAATAAATTGTCAACAAATAAGATAAATTTTGTGAATATTCAAAGAACCCCACCCCACCCCACCACCTCAGCTCTCTTTCTTTCTTTTTTTTTTTTTTTNTTTTGGTACGATAGAAGGAGGAGGAAGCTAAGAATCTATCCTACGTGTGTAAGCTACTCCAACCAAGTCGTGATCGAGCCAAAGCTTCAAACCAGCTGGCGGGAACTCGAGACGTTGGAAACCTCCAAGACTAGATGACGCTAGTGCAGCCAAATAATCCACCGAAAAGTTTGATTCTCGGTAAACATGCCTAAATTCCACGATCCATTCCCGACTCCGCAATTCTTTAATGGTCCGGATGAGGCTGCTGTGGACACCCTCCACTTCTGCCCATCCATTTACCACGTCTACCACTGCCTTGCTATCGACATCTGCTACAACCCGTCGATGCCCTAGCTCCCATGCAAGAAGAAGGCCTTGGAGTAACCCCAAATCTCCCTCCCATAATGGAGCTAAACCCAATATTCATGATGAAACCCCCAACGAAACAACCAGTATGATAAACCAATCAAACAAGCCAGTCTCTCATCACCAAATACTACAAACACGTTAACAGTTGTCGCCAAAAAATTGAGTCCCTCGAATTTACAAGAGTACTTTGTTGGCTTAAAACAATCCCTGCATGTATATTACACAGTGTTGAGTCTAGGTGGCAGATTCTCACGATATTGACATGGCAAAAATCTATGCTTCGTGATGTTGTTTTTATATTATGTTTGCCTTGGAGTTTGGTTTGGTATCAGACATAAATAACTTTTATAATATACTACCTCATACTCTATTTAAATGTCATTTTAGCATTATCAACTATTAACAAAATAAATGTCGTTTTAGATATTTTGTACATATTTTTTACATTATAATTTCATCTAGCTAATAAATACACTACCTCTTTTCATATTCACTCTTCATCTTTTCTCAAAACATTCATCTATATCCTCATTAATGAGGGTTATTATTGGAAAAAAAATATTATTAATAAATGTGCAACTTCTCAAAACGATACTTATTATGAATAGTAGGTAGTATTTCTTAACTCTACACCGCTGTTGTACACGGGTATTGTAGTAGTTCATTTTAATTTCAAAATGAAGTCTAGGAGAGGGGTAGGACCGTACGAGTGCGAAATTATGTTGCAACACAATTATAAAGCAGGAGCAATTTAAACAAAAATGTCTTGAACTTTCGCATTCTTCATAACTCTTTTACTAAAAAATGGTCGTGCACGCATAGTGTAGTAGAGGTTTACGAGACCATAACTCTCTTCTAATCTAAATTGTCCCTACACTATGTTTCTCTAGCTATCTTTTTGGCAAATTCGTGGAAATCAAATACATATTATGGATCCATCAACAGGTACACAAACACTTATCTCAAATGTCGCAATAAAAAGATAAATAATAATATGTCAATCTTTTAGGTCGTAAGAACCTGAACTAAAAGTTTGACTGAAGCTATGAAATAAAACCAAACTAAGCTCTCAAATGCGCACAAAAAAACTCTGAATATCTCGAGCTCTCTTTCTCAATTGTTACAAAACAATGATGGTAAGAATCGGGGGAAACAGGAATAGTCTTTGTACGTGAAGCGCACCATAAGAGGGTAAACCTAGATGCGAGGTTTCATCCTAAAACCAACTAGTAGTGGGAGAAGTAGCTCACTGGAATTATAAGT